ACTCTAAACGGGGAACGTGCCTCTGCCCGGCTGGTTGATGTCCCCGTAAGGACAAAAACTGACATCACCGCCATCCAAGAAATGCGTTGGACGGGGCAAGGCAAGCAATGTCTGGGACCTTGCGACGTCTACTACAGCTGCCATGTAAAGGAGCGCAAATTTGGAGTTGGATTTGTCGTGGGAGAGAGACTCCGTCGCCGAGTACTGTCGTTCCCCCCGGAGCAAGAGCGTCTAGCCACAATCCGCATCAAAGTGAGATTCTTCAACATCTCGCTCATCTGCGTCCATGCCCCGACGGAAGAGAAGGACGAGGCATCCAAGGATCTCTTCATGAGCGCTTGGAGCGAACGCAGGAGCGCTGTCCCCGTCATGATATCAAAATCGTGCTTGGCGACTTCAATGCCAGGGTGGGCAAAGAAGGGATCTTTGGAACCATCGTCGCAAAACACAGCCTCCACAACGAAACGTCCGACAACGGATTGAGGCTGATCGACTTCGCCGGGCCCGCAACATGGTAGTATGCAGTACTAGGTTCAAGCACAAAAAGATACATCAAGATACGTGGCTGTCTCCTGATCGAAAAACGAGAAACCAAATCGATCAAGTTGTGATAGACGGAAGGCACGCTTCCAGTGTTTTAGACGTACGCACACTCCAAGGCCCAAACATCGACTAGGACCACTATCTTGTTCCAGCCAAAATACGCACCCAAATATGCAAGGAAAGCTTAATGTCGAAAAGCTGCAATCACAACAGACAGCCAGTGCTTTCGCTACTCGACTCTCACACCTGCTCTCAGAGAGCACTCTTCAACAAACCTACATATGCGAGCAGTGGAACCACATTTCCTGCTCATTAAGTACCGCCGCCGAAGAAGTAGTCGGATTTCAGCGAGCCCGAAAGAACAACTGATATGGTGAGGAGTGTCAGGAAGCTGCAGAGAAAAAATATGCCGCCTACAGGGCCACGCTGTGATAGGGCGCAACGCGCGCTGTGTGGGACTGCTATAGGGATCTGAAGAGGGAAGCGAGACGTATTTGCCGCAATAAGAGAGAGGCCGAAATATGTGAGTGCGAAGAGCTTGAAATGCTGGCCGACAGGAAGAATGCCAGAAAATTTTACCAAAGAGTTAGGCGACTTACGGAAAGTGTCAAGACCAGGGCGTACTCCTGTATGAACAATGGTGACCTAGTAACCGATGTTCAGAACGTACTTAATGGCTGATTACGGATAGCAAAGCAACCACGGTTCGGTTGCCAGCTGGCAACGCAACTGGAAAGAAAATTTGTATTACAAATGGCAACTATCGTTAGATGCTGTAGAGTTATCGATAATCGCAATTTGACAGTTCGACAACCAGAAAAAGGCTGTAAACAACCTATGCGACTAAAATTAATTTATTAAAATAAAGATTTAAAGAAAAGACAGCAATAAGGCTAAGTTCATCACAATTATTTGTTTAAGAGGAAGAGAAGTGCATGAACGCGGCCTCAATCAGGCGACTTTTAAAGGATAATTCTAATCCTCTAGAACTACCGTGGGCACTGTAAGAAAAAGTTAATGCTTTCAAGGTTTTTCTTTTATTATCGTTTTGCGTTCATTTTAAAAGCATATTGAGGACTTCCAAAAGAAGCTGTAGTATAATTGGTTAATAAACAGATGAACCGCTTCGTTCAACTTCAATACCTCCGGTCATAAACGCTTGCGCACCTCTTCGATTTTTCGCAGAAGGAAGTGCCACAGCAATGACTTCAATTTGGAAAACTTGGTGTTTCGGTAGCTTTAAGAGGTGCTTCAGTTGATAAAGGAAAAAATTTGCAATCAGTGTTCACTTTTGTTTCGCCAAAAGGGCGTACTCAACGGAAACTAAAATTTCAAGTTATTGTTTTGTATTTTTTTTTCACCATATTCTGTAAAAGCAAACTGCATTGCAAAATGTTAATATCGTTCAAATTATTAAAAAGTAAAATATATGACACACTTTTCAATTTTCGCTCCTAAATACACTCCAAAAATATTCCCAGCAACCACAAAAATGTAGTCGCCTGTTTGCACACTTTGTAGCAACTGCAGTTGTCAATTGAAAGTTGCCAGTTGCAATATGTAATATCGTTTTGGCAACTAGCAACGCAACTGAAGTTCGATTGCTATCGATAACCGTCCCATAACACTCAACGGGGTTTCAGACAGGGCGACTTCCTTTCATGTGACTTCTTCAATCTGATGTTGGAGAAGATAATAAGAGCTGCAGAACTGAACCGCTCAGGAACAGTTTACTACAAGAGCGTGCAATTGCTGGCTTATGCCGATGACATCGATATCACCGGTATCAAAAACCGCGAAGTCTGTTCTGTCTTTTCCAAGTTGGATAAGGAAACAAAGCGAATGGGTCTGGTGGTAAAAGAGGACAAGACGAAGTATCTCCTGTCATCAAACAAACAGTCAGCACATTCGCGCCTTGGCACCCACGTCACTGTTGGCAGTTACAATTTCGAGAAAGTAGAGAATTTCCTTTACTTGGGAACCAGCATTAACACCGATAATAATGTCAGCATGGAAATCCAACGCAGAATCCCTCTTGCCAACAAGTGCTACTTTGGACTGAGTAGGCAATTCAGGAGTAAAGTCCTCTCTCGACGTACGAAAACCGCGCTCTATACGTCACTCATCATGCCCGTGCTGGTATATGGTGCAGAAGCATGGACAATGACAACATCCGATGAGGCGGCTCTTGGCGTGTTCGAGAGAAAGATTTTGCGGAAGATTTACGGACCTTTACGCGTTGGCGACGGCGAGTACCGCAGACGATGGAACGATGAGCTGTATGAGCTTTACAACGCCATGGACATAATGCAGTGAATTAAAACACAGCAGCTTCGCTGGCTTGGCCATGTCGTTCAAATGGACACCGACGCTCCAGCTCTGAAAGTATTCAACTCGGAACCCAGATGAAGAGGGAGGCCCCCACTTGGCCAAAATCGCTTAGGCGGTTACAGCGCCCAAATAAAAAGTAAAATAAAACGTTTATTTATTTTGTATTATTAGACGTAACCATTTTCGCATATTATAGAATGGCTTCGTCAGTACACAGTGTTCAAAAGAGAAGCCGGAGCACAGCAAAACAACTAAGTCGCATGGTGGACTTTTTGACGGAAACGCCGGGATTGGCAGGATCCAGGTTGCAGAAACTTCATGGCAAATCGGACTGCGACAAGAAGTGAAGTGAACTAGCGTCAATGCTGAATGGCCTTGGTGGTGCGGTGAAGAACGTCAACCACTGGCGCACAGTATGTAAACATTTTTTAGTAATTTAATACCACGTTTAAAATTTTGTTTTGCAAAAAGGTATGAAGGGATTTGAAGAGCCGTACTAGCACTAAGGTGCGTGATAGAAAAAGAAAGCAGACAATGACGGGAAACAATCCCATTAATGAAGAGCCACCCACTGAGCTTGAGAGGCGCGTGCTTGCCCTTGTCGGTAGCGACTATGTGCAGGGCTGTGAAACTGTTGCTGAAAGTGTGCTAGTGGAAGAGGTAAAAAGTAAATAAATAGTTTTGAATAGCACAGCAGTTAACAATTCTTCCCATCATTAGGAACTTCCACTGCGTATGGAAGAGGGTGATGAAGGTGTCCTCATCGAGATGTCATCTATTTCTCACGAAGTGAGCATTGAGATGTGCACATCGACTCCTATAACTCCTGCAGGAAAAACGCCACGTAGAGGTAAAAGAGAAAAAATAATTGTTTGGAAATTGCTCAGACCCAAGCAAATGCCTCAAAAGTAATTTACTTATTTGTATATTGTATTTGAGTTATAATTTTTTCGGTTCTTTTTCAACAGCAGCAGAGTCGAGTTCAGCGAATGTACAAATAGCAAGTAGACAAGCAGATGCTTTGAAGGTAGTTTTTTGTACATACTAAAAAATAATATTACATTCTTATGCTCTTTCAACAGTTGTTAGCTGAAACAAGTACGGCGAGTGTGCAGGTAACGAAATCGTTGGCCGAAGCTATGACCACAATGAGGGAAGGTTAAAAGGCATGTGCGGATGCCTTTAATATTTTAACAAGCGCTATCTACCGGTTGTAAATATTGTGTAAATATTTAACAAAGGCTATCTACCGGTTGTAAATATTGTGTAAATATGTAGTTTTTGAAGTAATTTTTTGTTTTAATATTTATGTTAGTTTTAAGCGTTTTAAATATAAGTTTAAGTTCTTTTTTGTTTTTATATTTATGTTAGAGTTAAGTTTTCATTTAATAGAGCATGAAGTTCCTTTTTTTGTATTTATGTTAGAGTTGAGTTTTAATTCGACATAGCATGAAGTTAACTTTTTACATTTAGAATAACTGTTTAAGATATTCGAAGAAGTTTTACATATTGACGTAGTACGTTGATATCTTTATTAGTTTATAATAAGCGAGTTATTTGAAGTTCTGTTGATTTTCAAATGAATTCAATGTTTACAAATTTAGTTGATAAAGAGGTATACGGTACTTACTGCATGTAAGATATACCACATAAATTTCTTATATGCAATAAGTAATGAAATTTAATATTGTGAATTCATGTTTTAATTTTGTGATGCCCCTGTAACTTGAACGTGCTTTTACGTGGTGTTTTAATCCACGCCATATCACATTATAGAAACTGATCTACGACTACAAACTGTGATGTCTTTTGATGGACCCTATATTTCATGAATATCTACGTATATAATTCTAGATCTTCGGTTCGAATCCTACTGAAAGAAGTCTGATGAGGAAATGTGCTGATGTCCGAAATAGCTATCACTTCTACCATTTTTACAAATTATTGTTGCTTTTCCACAATAAGTTTTCATTAAAAAGCGGCCTCAAGCTCAATAAAACTTGTTGAATATAATAATTCTAGACTTTAAAAAAATTTACTCAAATTAAAGACAAAATACGACTGAAGTTATTGATACTAGAGTTTTTATTTACATAAAAATGTGTAGTAAAATGCCAAAATAATTTTATTGTATTCCTTCTGAATTTTTATTTATCAACGTTTTATTAATGTAAAATAATTTGCAATTAGCCGGTCTTGGACGCGTTTTGCTGTTGAAGACGGCGCGTCTTGATTTACATTACTGCTCTTTGTCCTTGGCTCTAGGAACTCAGTCTCGGGATCGTATGTTTGGTCATCCAATCGCAAGTTATGCAACACTGTGCATGCATTTACTACTTTTCCAGTATATCCAGGATCATACAAAAGAGTCCTTTGTTGAGATAACCAACGCCAAGTTCCTTTGAGAACGCCAAAAAGTCTCTCGACTGGGTTTCGAGCTTTGCACAATACCTCATTGTAGCGGAATTTAGGACCCCCTTCTGGTTGGTTTGGTAGAGGAGTCATCAACCACGGCTCCAAAGGATATCCTGAGCCACCTGCAAATGTTTATTCGACATTTTCAATTAAAATTATTTTAATAAGTTTAAGTGGATTTAAAAAGTTACCAATCAAAAACATATTATAGTTTCCATTTTCAAAACTTCGCTGCATAACTCTCCGGACTGCAGAGGAGCTCCAAATGAATGAATCGTGTCGCGCTCCTGAGTATTTAGTATTGACAGCCAAAAAATAAAATCAATTCTCAGTAGTTTAACCCTTGAGCAAATTTTACTCTTACCATTTGCACATTGATAGAATGGTATCCATGGTGGTTGACATACGCTTCTTCATGATTTTTTGGACTCATGATTGACACATGAGTGCAGTCGATAGCCCCAATAGTATCTCCCATAAATGGTGCAGATGCTGAGGTGAAAATTTCTTCTTCAGCTTGCCGCTCTATATTTCTATATAATCAACAGTTTTGCCGGTAAAAATAAATGTATGAAGAAAAAATATATTTTTTGCCTAAAATATTAAATTTTTTTAAAACTGTTGATTATATAGACAAACGATATATGAACAGATTAAAGGAATTGTAATTTTTAATTTTTTTAAATTTGTTTGAGCAAAATCGGACTAGTGGTTCTCGAGTTATGTCAAAAAAAGACCACCAAAGGTGACAATTTCCCCTATATGATAGTTATATATATCTCGATTCCTAGACGTGACCCAGCGAAACGCCGGGACACGTATAACTTCTTTCTTACCGATATAACTTTCCCCGGTGGGTTGAACCCTTCCCGATCACTGACCCCTACCATTTGTCTCACAGTGTAATTTGAATAAACAAGTTCGTTAAATTTAAAAATTTACAAACTGGAGCGATTTTAAAATGAAAAATATAAGTTAATACTTGTTTACTTAATTAATTTAGTTAATTCCAATGATTTGAAAGGTATTCGGCAAAAAAAAACTGTATTCTTAATCGGAATGCAATCTCAACCAGAGTCGATATAGTAATCCCGACAAAGAAATTGAAACGTATGTTGAAAAAAGTCGGACAAGATATATACACGTAGATCCGGGTTTTTGCCCCTATGAAAGAATTTTAAAAATTCTATACGAATTTCTTTTGTTTGAAATGCAACCGTGGACACTAGTTGGCAAAAAAACTTGCAAATTTGCGTTCGTACAGAAAATTGCAAGTTTCTCTACATGAGAGAGAATTTGGGAGCATTTTTTCTTACTATCTGATATTTTGAGTGATAATTCTCGCTGGATTTTCGACCAACAAACCTATTGTCTTCCCTACAAGGCCTTTTCAGACTGACCGATTCTCAATACACTCAAATAGAAACCAATACACACAAAAAACGCTGTAAAAATTTCCCTTCAATTTTAAGGCAGTAAAACAACGACCTTCAGTTAACATCAATCGAGGCCATATGTTGACAAGGGATGCAAAATCACAGTTACACAAAAGAACTGGTCAGATTTTTCAGAAATCCCTTCAATTCTGATGTAAAATATGATGCCAAAAGACTGCAGATCTCCCATTTAGATAACCGGCAGATGTCTCGTAGGATTCCCAGAGAGTTTTGCTTTACACATAAATTTGTGCTCTTTTATTTTCATTTTGATTCACTTCAGTGTTGGTTCCTTTGATTCAAGTTGGCATTCGGCTTTTGGAATTTAAATAAATTCTCAGCAAAAAATTTTGTTTAAAAAAATACATATGTGTACATAGTGCTTGAAAATATCAATTTTTCCCTTACCTTAAACCTTTGGGAGTGGGCAAAAATTATGTTTTGTAATTTAGGCAGAATTGACAATCTGGGAACACCATATCTACATGTAATATTTATTCTGTTTGTTGGCGCTATATCCAAACACAAACGCATCTTAAGTGTCTTAACAGTGAAACAATTTCTAATTTTCTAAGTTTGCGAATAAAACTTCACACTTAAAATTAAGACATTTATAACAAACATTTTATGAAGAAAATCCCTTCTTCGTTTAAAATAAAAATAGGCGAAATCGGCCCAATTTCATACAACACTGCCTGAAATGAAAATTTTCTCCACGATAAGACTAGTGGCCATCTCTAACAGATTTTGGGTCGCTTAGTCAAAAATGGAAACATATATACATATTTGAAATTTAAGAAAACAAGGCAAATAGCAAAATCGGCTAAAAACGGCTAATTTTTTTCTGCAAAACGGCTAACAAATCGGCTGCCGGCTAAATCGACATTTCTCCGGGTGTTTGGTATCGCAACCGGCTAAATCTAGCCGGAAAACGGCTAAAATGGCAACACTGCTCTTGTTATCGACCAATGACATGCTAAATAGTACAAAGGTACATTATTACCTATTTACTCCTGACATTATTTTATGTTACTTATCGGGATTCGGACTAGGGCTATATCTATCAATATTTTTTGTGAAGGATAGGTTCACGTGAAATATAATGTACATGAGTTGTCTGGAGAAAAATTTATTCATTTATTGATAAAGTATGCTCAAATTGGCGACCTTCTACTCTATTACAAGCTCGGTACCTTTTAAGAAAGACGCTTTTAGAGATCTTAAACTCAATTGGGCTATCTCAGCAGCAGCTCCATTTATTTGTTCCCGCAAATGCTCTTCGTTTTGAATTGTTTTTGAATAAATTGTGTCCTCAAGACAGCCCCAGTAGAAAAAGTCTAATGGATTCAGGTCTGGCGATCGAGCGGGCCACGTGATTGGCCCGTATCGTCCAATCCATCGGCGAGGATAAGTTTTGTCTAGATGAGCTCTTACTTCACGCCCGTAGTGAGCAGGGCACCCGTCATTTTACAGCCATAGTCTTCGCCGCAGGTTAAAGGGTACATCTTCTAAAATAGTTGGAAGCCATTCCTGAAGGAACTCTAAATAACTGTGAGGGTTGAGCGTTGGCGGCAGTTCCACAGGTCCCAATATCTGACAATTAAAAATACCGCACCATAAATTTATTTTGTACCTGTACTGCGAATGATCTTCTCTTATTTCGTGAGGATTGTCTATCTGCCAACTGTGAAGGTTATGTAAATTAAAATAACCAGCACGTTTGCATGATGATTCATCGCTAGAAATTATTTTATTAAAAAAGTTGGGGTCTGATTCATGCATTCGCAACATTTCACGGCAAAATCTAACCCTCGACAGGTAATCTCTTTCTTGTAGAGCCTGAACACGTTGAATGTGGTAGGAATGAAATCGATGGTCTTTTAAAGTTTTCTTTTAACTGTAGTTTTTGGTATTCCCGTCCGTCTTTCCATCATTCTCACTGAAGTCGCTGGACCTAGTTCCACTTCCTCTAACACAACTTCAACATCTACCGTTGCAGGACGTCCTGTTTCGCCGCCACGCCTTCCAGGTATGTGACTTTAAAAAAGTGAAAATGATAGTTAACAAGCAAGCAAACAAGAAAGGTGTAAAAATCGCTTACCTTCATATATTTCTCTATGGGTCCGGGCGAATTCTTCACGACCCGGATGCCGACGATTGGGGTATCGTTCTGCACAGAGTCTTTGAGCAGCTCTGGCATTACAGCAAGCTTCACCGTAAATTAGGTAAGTATCCGCATATTCATGCGACGTATGTATACTGCGTGTTCTCTGTCATAGTATTAATAACACCATGTTCGAAGGGTCCAATTTCACAAAATCCACTTTCATTATTTCCCGTAAGTAACACAAAATAATGTCAGGATTTTTTTTAATTAAAAAAAATGTAAATATTTCAAAAACGGTGACACTTTTACCTGAAAATTTTTTGTTTATCAGAGAGCAAAAGTTATCAAAACAAATTATATGGGACTAACATATATTATTTTCTAATTGTTAGTCCATTTATAAAAGCGTGGTATATTAAACATTTCTTTTTATTTTATTTATTTAGTAATAACTCGATTCCAGCGCCACCTGCCGTTTTAAGTTGAGCAACTTAGTTATACAAGGACCCACTCAAACACATACAAAATTTTATTGAAATCGGTTTGGTCGTTTAGGAGGAGTTCGCTCACAAACATACGTACCGAAGAATTATATATGTATTTACAATGTTTCAGTATATTTGGAAGGCGCCACGCTCTCTTTTTCAATAATCCCCAGTTCTCTCCATGAGCATGGGATTGCTTTCAACATCTTCATACTTCCAGGACTCTACCACAAACACTTCCATAGATATACGGTATGACACACTCGATACATCGATATTATTATGAGCCTATAGATAACAATTCTTGGAAAGTCTGCAGTAAGTGCCCAAAATATCAAAAAAATCGGTACAGCCGTTCCCGAGATCACCTCTTATAAAAGGAAGAGACTTCTACTACTTTTTGTTAGTACAGATAATAAGTATAGATAAATAGCCAATGCCCGCATGCTTTGCGGGAGGGATGCAAGTAAGAAAAAAATACATCGATGTGTTTTTCGATTTGATGTATCGAAATCCCAAACAAATCCCACTTTTTCTGTTCTTTTGGGAAGTCTTCGAACAAAATTTCGGAAGATACGAAAGTGGCGACAATTGTTAAATGTTTATAAGCATAATGAAATAATATAAAGTGTGCCAGCCAGCAATCACACTCTATTTCGGTACACTTATTTGGCAATTTATTATAATTTTTTTTTTTAATTTGACTTTCATAGTAACCTTTGGAGTGAGAAATTATTAAGTTTTTTGATTTGAGTAAAAAAGTAAAAAAAAAAACAAGTCCATAAATTATTGCCGCTTGTGCAAAAGCACACATAACGTTGCAGTA